TTGACAGTGAATGATGATGATTGATTAAAACCTTTTCAGCATTAATCTTAATAGTTCGTCTGTTGTCCCGTTGATATCTACAGCCCAGTTGAGCAGCATCGAACTGTATGGAACAATATTCTCCCCGGTACACTGGCGTAGTCGGCAGGATACGTTTAAGGGACTGAGATATTAGTGGATTATGACGAACTCTTTTCAGTTTCATGTCAATGTGATTTTTGCCATCGCCATTACCGTTTCGACATGATGAGACATGAATCGCATTCTGTGTTTTCTAACAATCCACTATCGACTTTATAGAGTGAGAGGATGTTGTGTGACCCTTAACTAGCTTCATATATGGCGAACTGTATTGTACGTAGTTTTCTGGGTACATTATTCCCTCGCTTATCGGTGTCCTTCTGGGTATCGTCCAGTGCTTACGTGGGATTATCGTGTTATATGGTGCCACATCATAAACATGTGCGCCTAAATTACAGAACTGTGTTGTGTAAATCAGGATACCATAAACAATGGCTGATGGAGCGGTTTATCTACGTCGATTTATGGCTGATCACATTGCCAAACTCTGTGAACTCAATCACACAGGCACAAATGAGGTGAAGACGAAGCAAGAAAGAGTCGCTAGCCTGTGCGATCTCCCTCACTTGATTGAGGAGACACCACAACAACAACAACCAAGTGGATTTGGAGTTCCTGAGCTCATGAAATTCATCCAGGAAATGGAACACACACGCCAATCACAGAGAGAAAAACTGTGCAAATCCTTGGTTGATGCTGTTACTGAGTCGACTAAGAAACCCCCTGTGGTGCAGTTGGGCCCTAAGCTCCCGGATTTTCATAAACTGAGCAGCGATGATGATATCACGTGTTACTTGGCCACCATCAAGCGCCTAGCAACCGCCGCCAAAAAGCCTAAAACGGAATGTCCAAGGCTACTGGAACCCTACTTAACTGGTAGAGCGCAGAAAGTTTTCTACGGGTTGAGCGAGGAGGACAAACAGGATTTCAACAAGATCACAGCTGCGATAGAGCGGAGATATTTTCGCACCCCAGAAGCCTCAGACACAACCTAGTACCTTCGATTCCTAACAAAACTGTGCCTACGCAAAACGAACCGCCTACATGTATGTCTCGAAACAAACCGGCACTGCATGAACAAATCGACACCCCCCTCCCTGGCCAAACCGACCTGGGCAATATACCAGTCAGTGCTACAGATGCAAAAAAATTAGTCATAGGGTACAAGACTGCCCGATGCCACCGCCAAAGCCAGACATCAACTCACAGTCACCTACAAACACCCCAGTGCTTAAAGACAGTGAAAAACCTCAGAAGCCTAACAAGGTAAACTTCTTGCAGGTGGACAACACTTGTCAGTGTGGACCGTTAGTTGAGGCAACCATCAATGATAGCCACAGGGTTGTCTCTCTCATAGACACGGGTTTGGACCGTTAGTTGAGGCAACCATCAATGATAGCCACAGGGTTGTCTCTCTCATAAACACGGGTTCCAGTCTCTCGTTGATCACGGATGAACTCTGTAATGAACTGGACCTCCCACTTGGCCCAACATCCAAAGAGGCATTATTTATGGTGGATGGGTCTGAACTAACCACACTTGGAACGGTGGAGACGAGGGTTGGTGTGGGCGGAGCGGAAACTAAGCTTCACTTACACAGAGTCCGCCGCCTGCCGACCCGTCTTGCTTGGTATGGATTTTGTGCTCAGCGTTGTAATATCCATTATTAGTTTTAATGTTTCAACAGTCAATCACTCTAGTTAAATCCTTCAATCATGTCAAAGCCATCATGTAGTTGAATCACACAGCTGTGCATTGCATTATTACATATGTGTTGACATCACCAACTGTACGTTCTTTATTAATGCTGGGCTCTTCCAACACGGTACCTCATGCACCAAAGCAGCAAGCTGTGTGTCTGTGTCTTTCATTCTATTCTGTCTTGAGGTTATTTTGAGCACAGGACATTACAAACGTCAATTTGGCACGGATTTTGCTAATACTTGTTATTGGACGGTCCTCGTCATGGATTGTCTGCGAAGACAAACTGTCCAGTATCCTATGTTGGGTCATGGAGGAAGGAACCTTCCTCCATGGTTGGGTACACCCGTGTCTCCCCCTCATCACGCAGAGCCCATCTCAACAATTGATGATGACATGCCCTTACGGTCTTCCATACAACTTGACCGACCGGTTCTCACAGGTGATGACATCCATCGCATAGACACATTGTTGAATGCTTTTCCAGATGTCATGTCCGATGAACCAGGGCAGACGGACATGGCGCAACATCACATTGACGTGGGTGATGCCTCACCTCTACGCTCTCCCCCGTATCGCCTCTCACCAGAACGCCGCCAAGCTCTGCACAAAGAACTGGACACACTGCTTCAAACGGGGAAAATTGTGCGGTCCAAATCACCATGGGCATCACCAGTGTTGATGGTCCCCAAGAAGAACGGCCAGTTCCATCTTTGTGTGGATTATCGGAAGTTAAATTCGGTCACAAAGATCGACGCTTTTCCGATGCCAACTATCGACGCCATATTAGATTCACTTCATGGGGCCACGATATTCAGTTCACTTGATCTCTGTAGCGGGTACTGGCAGTTGGCTGTTGCACCCGAGGACGCTGAAAAAACAGCCTTCATTTGTGAAGAGGGGCTCTTCCATTTCACAGTGCTCCCTTTTGGTGTAGTCAACGGGCCCGCTAGTTTCCAGTGCCTT